GTGGACCAGGGCAGGACATGTCCTCCTAGTCCCGCTGAGGTGGACCAGGGCAGGACATGTCCTCCTAGTCCCGCTGAGGTGGACCAGGGCAGGACATGTCCTCCCGGTCCCGCTGAGGTGGACCAGGGCAGGACATGTCCTCCCGGTCCCGCTGAGGTGGACCTGGGCAGTTCTACTCACAGTTTCTGATGTCCGAGATGAAGACCGCTAATCCGCGCATCCCGTCTCCTTTCGACACGGCCGGCATGGCTGCAGCTCCCTGTCCTCGGTCCGGTCTTCTCTGGACAAACTGGGGCGGAGAAGAAGAGGGACAACCTGGCGTTCAGAAGGAGCTGGAGAGCCCGGTTCGGTCACACGGCCTGGGCTGTGCGGCGGGTCCAAGTAGCATCTGCTGGATCGGCGTCCAGCGGAGTCCCGGTTAGCTGGCTACGGCGAGTTAGCCTCACTTCATTCAAACCGAACCTCGGTAGGACTCCCTCCTCTCCGCGGCCGAGTCGTAGAGGTTCTAGTCGGGGACTGGTTGGTCCGCTTCGCTGCGAGGATAGACCGCCGTGTCGGAGTGGAAGTGATAGACAGCGTTGGTGTTCCTGGACTGTGGCGGACCGCTAAGCTAGTCCAACAGCTAGCTTAGCTGCTAGCTGCGAGGCTCAAACAGAAGCGAACTTCAGCGGCGGAGGAGCGCCAGAACTCTGCGGGCTTCCACCCACCAAGCAGCAGCACAACTCTGCGGATCTGCCCGTTTGTTTCGCTCTGAAAGCTGCCCGCAATCTGCGTGATGTCCGTGATAATTTACCCACTTCCACTCACGGTCGGATAAGGCTCGTGACAGCAGACACAGTGTGAGCGCGCGACGCAACCGTGAACGCGCACGCTGTTAATAGACTCGTAAAGAAGGAAGCTGTTTGGCTCCTGGTTCCATCAATGATAAACAGCCAACAATTCTACCAACAGCATTTCTATAACTATCATTTCCATAATCAACATGTCTACCACCAAAATTTCTACAGCCAATATTTCTATAGCCAACATTTCTATAGCCAACATTTCTACCACCAACATTTCTACCAACATTTCTATAGCCAAATTTTATACCAACATTTCTATAATCAAAATTTCTATAGCCAACATATCTAACACCAATATTTCTTTGCCAACATTTCTACCAACATTTCTATAGCCAAATTTTA